CCTGCCTTGGGTACTTCAAAGACCAACCTTAAGCCGGGAAAATTTAATACTACTTTTTTCCCTTAAACATATGTCACATTTACTTGTTTCTCATATATACAAATATGATTTTTTGAGTTTTAAATTACAAATTGCTCAAAAACATGTGCAGTCTTGACAGAACTCGCGCATTCACGCAAATACACAAACATCATCAAAATTAATTTTAAAATATACGATTTCAAATTAAAAAAAAAACATTAAAAGAGTACTCTTTCCAATTCTCATGAAATGTGTACTCTTAGACCAATTTCCACGTCATCATAGGGATTTTTCCTTAATTTTATAGTTTATTTACTAGGGACTGGGTATTTGTAACCTATAAAGGTTGAAGGGGTATTCGGAAAAAGAGGGGGGCCTTGAAATTGTTTGCGTATCAGTAGGGGAGTCATCCGATTTTGCAAGAAAGTAGATGGGGTTGGGGTTGGGGTTTGGGGTTAGGCTGGAGGAGGGGGGTTCGTCATTGAAAAAAAAATTGAACAAATACGTTTGTTGTTAAGTGAAATATGCCAACAAAACGATAATTCACAAAACATCGGTTTCAATATGATTTTCAAAGAAAGTATTGCAATCTGAAACTAGTATACCAACAACAACCTTGTTGATAAATATTCCGTATCAACTTCACAAATAATACACGAGGGTCTTAATGTATAGATTCTAGGTACGGACGTTGTTTATCATCTTAATTACGTGTTGTAGTGTTCTTTTATTTGTCTTTGTAAATTATTAACGTTTACTGTTTGGTTCGTTTTTGGTAATATCCTTTAGACGTGGCACGGTACTTGTACATCCCGCCATTGTGTTGTTGTGCTGTTGTCATTTTATGTATTCTTGAGTTTCAATGTTGCGTATGTGCTTTGTCTATATGACATTTTGTTTTTCTTTGTTGACATATTTGTATGTTTTTATAGTGATTAAGATTATAACACTATGTTGACTGCTGTACCCCTATTTGTTACATTTTTACCTTTTATGTCTGTTTGCTCTGGTATAAATACCGAGCCACGAGTAATGTAGTAGTTGATATGTCTTGACAAATTATCTTTCTTTTTTTTACATCATTATCAAACACATTGTTTGTTGTTTTAAATTGAAATTAAAAAATGTAATGCAACGTCAGTATCAAGTACAATGAGCTCTTACCTGCGAGGCACTTTCAGATGTTTAACTACCAAAATAATCGATGGTGCTAGATCACTTTGTGTAATGACATTATAGAAATCGTCAGACACGTAACATACACGTGTATTAAAGTCTATATCTAGAGCGTCATAAAAAAGTCAAAGAACATATAACCACAAATTTATTTTGAATAGTCCCATGAATTAGAATAGACATGTGTTTTCTATCGTACAAATGTTAAACGTATTTGTAAGAATCCACATTCTAATCTTCCATTGGAGTTATCTAAAAACAAAATCATAGGAAATTCATTTGAATGCAGTTGTATCGGTATTAAACATTTGATGGATTATTCTAAAAGCTACGGTTCCAACTCCCCCAGGCAAAGTTTACCTAAGATGAATTTGGCTGTTATTCTTAAGATCCATTTTGGTCATAGAACCACTAAAGTTTATACGTATTTATACATTAATTAAATTTAAGCTTTCCCGATGAAGGTAAATCCAGGCAAGCGCTTCGAACGCACAATATTTGAAAAGTGCTATATTCATATAGTCGTTAATAAGTTGCAAAGGTGTATCTGCTTATGCATATAATATACAGCAATAAACGCCACCACTTAGTTACAGGTTCATAACTTGGGACAGACACATGCAGCATGTGACAGGGTTAAACATATTTGCGAGCACTCAACCCTCTCGCTTAACCTGAGAGAGTGGTGTAATAGCACAACACAATATCAAATGTTTGGTCTTCATAGTAACTAATGATAGTGTTTGTAAACGAAAGGTCGACTCCACTGGCAGTAGACATCTGGTGTAAGAGAGTATCACCTGTTCAAATAATTCAGTAATCAACATATGCTGACATCAAGTATTAATGTGAATTCTCTTCCTATTTTTTAATTCGAAATTTTACTTTTTGTACTGAAAGGTATATACATGATACAGATATATATTGTATACTTTTGAGGATCTTTGAGGTTCAATTCTCATCAATTTCGTAATTGATTTAGTTTTCGTAATATCAAGAAAACATGAACTGACGACTCTTGAGGACGAACATCCAGTAGTCTGATGTTACTAATAATTAGCATGGCGTTTTTCATATTTTGTACGATTTGTATATGTATGCCTTTTTGTAAATTATATAGATCGTTTTGTAAAAATAAAAATGTGGTCTTATGTGCGTTATGAGTTAAACCAATAATAGAAACATGTTATGTTTGAATTGTTGTAGGAATATCAATGAAAGACCCTTCCAATATTATAATTCATTACTTGTAAAGAGAAATCTACTTGTTTTTATTTAGTTTGAGGGTTTTGAGGAGAACATAAAATTAAGATATTTTAAATTGATGATACATACATTTGTAATATATGCTTTGGACAATTTAGAATTAAAGCACATAACTACTTAGCAAATACATGTTTAGCAGACATTGCAATATCAATTGCAACCTCTGTATTTGGTTTATTATTAAGGTTATTATACAATCGTCGAGTTTTTACACTTCTAGCTTTTACCGCCGTTACTTGATTTCTCGTAAGCTTTGTAGATTGTTTGCATATCTTGTCAGATCCGGCACAAAAAAGCAGGTTAAACTCTAAAAGTGTTGTTAATTTAAAAAGCATAGTGCGTATTTGGTAACATTTTGCAATTTTTCCTGAAAAATGTATGGAGAAGTGCTGTAGATCGCCTATTCTCGTACTGATTCTATCAATGTCTACAAAGCCTACCTGGTTATCAGAAATGCATTATACATGCGAAGCTTGAGTCAAAAAATGTAATCAAAACGTGAAAGGGAGTCAAATCGATTCAATTTTTAGACCATATTATTTAGATATTTTACTTTAAATACTATGTGAATTTTCATTTTAAATTTATCTAAGTTAGCAAATGAAATGAATAAACGGAGTGGGACATACTTCAATGAAGCAACAACCACGATGAAGTCACCATACAGTCTGCAATAATAGACAAATGTGTATTGTCTGTCAAAGAAAAGAAAAGAACTAGCTATATGTACTACACAGTCTGATTAACATTTTTCATTTGATGAAAAATAATTAAGTCAAAAATGTGTAGATCGGTTAAGATACAAAAAATAAAAAGAATGTTGTGTAATTTAAATTATTTTAAGTTAATGAAAATCTCTCCCTAATACAAATCTCTGATTTCTTGCCCTACTTTGGCCATACGTTTTGTCCTTTTTGGTGTTATCAGCTTTTCAATTTTTTGACTTGATTTTGGATTTTCAAATATTTTAGATTCGAGCATCCCTGAAGAGACTTTAATTGTCGAAATGCGCATTTGGTGTAGTAAAACTGGTACCGTTTATGTTATTACTATACGAAAATGTATAAGTGCGTCTGTGTGTAAGGAATAGAATGTTACTTTCCGATATCAATACCTTAAATTAAGCAAAGGTCTTAACAATTTGACATGAAATACTATTCATAGTTTTATTTTGATGTTAATACTATCGAATATTTGTCTTGTTTATTGAACATAAACATTAATATATTACACTTGCAACTTGCTCAATTTATTCCGTTTCGAAAACTGACTTAAAGTATGTGTTTTTGACTAGATTGATTTTATTAGTACTTTAACATACAAGCTTCGGAACGTATTAAAGTTACCAGCCTTATAATTTTGAATTGTTTTGCATTTGTCATTTCGGGGCCTTTTTTAGCTGACTATGCAGTATGGGTTTTGCTCATTGTTGAAGAACGTAGGGTGACCTATAGTTGTTAACTTCTATGTCAATTGGTCTCTAGTGGAGAGTTGTCTCATTGTCAATTATCCCACATCTTCTTATTTCTATATTCCTCGAGTAAAGTTGACTTACGTTGATATTAGTTGGTTATTCTTTTTTAGTTCTTTTTTGCGATATAACTCACGAAGTATCCATGTTATGCTGTTGAGACATTTCGTCCCACAACCAGTTCAACCATAAGATGTTTCGGCTAGAGTACCAGTTCGGCCATAATCGTTTCGGCCGCAGTCATTTCATTTTGTTCTTAGCATATATTATGTAATACTATATGTACATGATTAATTGTTTTGACAGTTTTTTTGATTAAAAAGAGTATTACTTTACAAAAAAAATCGTTTTGTCATTAAGTATGTATCTGCTCTGAAACAAGAGGACACACGACATCGCTTAAAATATGAATAGAAAATAACAATTTGTAATTCTTTGATGAAAGAAAGTTTACCTATTCGAAAAAAAAAGAATCAATTATCATATACATATTTGTTCCATAACATTCATTAATATGAGAAACGCATTAAATTTTCAACTTAGACTAAGGTGTTTCTCTCCTTATTGATTTTGATGATTCAAACACAATAAGACTTGATTATTCTTATATATTAAAATTGAGAATGGAAACGGGGAATGTGTCAAAGCGACAACAACTCCACCAAAGAGCAGAAAACAGCTCAAGGCCACCAAAGGGTCTTCAACACAGCGAGAAAATCCCGCAACCTGCGTCGGGCGTTAGCTGGCCCCTAAACAAAATGTATACGAGTTCAGAGAAAATGGACATCACACTAACTCCGAAACATATATGACTTGGGAGACAGGCACAAAAATGCGGCGGGGTTAAACATGTTTTTTTGAGATCTCAACCCTCCCCCTTTACCTCTACCCAATGTAGAATAAACAACCACAAAGCAATACGCGCAGTTAAACTCAGTTCAAAAGAAATCCGAGTCCAATGTTAGAATAGGTAATAAAAGAAACTAAGCAAAATGACAATGATCAACATAAATTAACAAAGGACTATTAGCAGTTACCATGGTTACTGACATGAAAGCTCCAGACCTCAATTAAATTGATTGAAAGATTATGTCTTCATCATATGAAAATCAAACACAATCCCGTCCGTAAGGGGTTAAGTATCATACCATCATAAAATATACGAGAAGAACATAACCCGTATCCTGTTAAAGACGAATAAGAACTAACTCAGGAATGTTTTTGATTTTACTCCTGTCAGATGCAATCGTTAAACGTTTAATTTCTATAATTCCTGATAACACCAAACACCATCCTCCCTTTTCCTTAAATCATTTCATATATATTTGTCATTTTCCGTTTTATGTTTCATAATTTTCTCGCTGAGTGTTTGTATAAAGCTTAGACAGAGTAAAGACTGTAGTTACCTTTTAAACGACTCATATACATATTGTTATGTACACGACAAATCAATGCGTCAAAACTGAATGTCAAGGGAATTGGATTTTAAAGTAGTCTATATGGCCGCCAGGTAGACTAAATATTGACGACAAATTACTCAAAGGTAGGTTAATGAATGTTATCAACATGCATTAATAGACCATAACTTATGTGTTTTCTCATAATAAATGTTTAAATTAAGATTGCTAACAAATCATTTTACATTTTTTATCACACCTATTTATTTTATATTGATATTAGCACATGCACTTTAAATAATTCAGCCATTTTGATTAATATAAATAAGAAGACGTAGTATGAGTGCCAATGCGACAACTCTCCATCCAAGTCACAATGTATAAAAAGTAAACAATTATAGGTCAAAGTACGGCATTCAACATGGAGCCTTGGTTAACACCGAACAGCAAGCTATAAAGGTCCCAAAAATGACTAGTGAATACAATTCAAACAGGAAAACCAACGGTCCAATCTATATAAAAAACGAGAAACGTGCAACCACATCACATCAACAAACGACAACCACTGAACAACAGGCTGCTGTCTAGATTTTGTTTTGTAAATTACAAGTTTCTGTGGATTTGGTTTAAACAAATTAAAAAAAAACTATAAATGAGGTGTGTCCATTTTTGTTCAGACTTCCCTCCACCAGGAACGCTCAAACCGAACATTTTGAAATCCAATGACATATTTATGCGTTATAGAAATAACATGAAAAGATATGATTATAAAATTTGACAATAAACTAACCATAGATAAGTGTCCGTATCACAGCATGTAATCCAGTAAGAAATCCGTTTAAAACTCTAAAGAATGTAAAGGTATGTCTAGATTTCGTAATTTTGAGTTAATTCGGTAATATTATTTTGTTTCTGGTCCTGTATATTCTTGGATGTGTTCATGGTATTGCCGTGATTAATATTGAGACTAGACATGTCGTAATAAAATTTTATTTCTTAATGCAGAAAATCTAATACAATCAATGTTGGCTCTTATAATCGTCAATATTGCCTCATGATTTATACTGAATCATTCGGGACAAACATTGCCATTTGTTTTCATCGTGCTTTAAATTAACACCATTCATTGTGTTAGAAAAAAAAGTAATTGTAATGTAATCTGTAAAGTGCTCATTTCGAAACAAACGAGTCTATTTGTACTTTCCATGGCTGTGTTGCTTTTGTTGAGTATTGTCCTTAGAAGATACAATATTTTAGATAATAAGTAGGAAAATCGTTCATTTGAAAAAAAAAAAATGAGATTATAATGAATGATGAATAAAGGACAAATATAATACAAATCTACATTGGCACTTTCAGAATATTGAAAACTGCCATAAAGCAAAATAATTCCCAGTCAATGGTCATATTTGAAATAAATGGAGAACCTGATGATCATTAAGTAGGCAATATTGGTATTTCGCATGTTTCAACAGGACAACAAAAAGACAACATTGTAATCTTCGAGATCTCTGTTTAAAAGCCATTGAACTATATTTGATTTAATAATTTGTGCAAACTGAATTAAAAACAATCAAGGATGCAGATTCAAAACTGTTGTTCCATTATTGACACCCGTTGCGGTACTGGTGTTGTGATAAATCTTCAATGAAGACACAAAGAAATTATTCTCCATAAGGGCATTATCGTATTTATAAAGCATTACGATCGGTACATGCAATTTATTTTCTATTTATATATATATAACTATGTCCCCTGATGACAAGACCACGACTGCTAAGATAGTCACGAGTCGTCATACTTTCAATATTATAGAAAATGATCATATAAGCGTATAAACCCAAAAGACTATAAATATAACAAGCAACTAGTTTTATAATTAGATAATGGAAAATACAAACAAGGGAAAATACAATATGTAAAAATAACTGAATACAGATTAACAGAGTTAATTATAGATTAATCTATATTTTTCTGTATCAAAATATAGAATTTGTGCACGTTGTTGACATATCATAATTGGCTTTATTAGCATTAAAACATACATCTACATCTTTACAAGTATTCAATTATATGAATAATTTTGAACCTGAAAAGTGTATATTATACAAATCTGAAATATTTTTAGATTCAAAATTACCGGTCCAAAAATATTTTAATCCATTTTCTCGATATTAGTCATCAAATGTATTAATAGTTTTCAATGGAAATTCATTCAAATCGCAAAACTTATCTAAACATGATATCGTATCGCAGAAATTAATGTAATATAATTATAACACATATCTTTTATTTATGTTCCTATTGTGCTATTGTATAGATGAGGATATGCCTGACTTTTTTCACGATACTTTGGTTTGTTATTTCGAACGCAATGAGTTGTGAAGGTGAGTTTCCTATTGTAGATTAATGTAGGGAAACACTGTTTAGTCTTAAGTTAATTATTTTGATTTGGTCGTAAACAAAAGACAATAAACTAAAGAGTTCATCAAAAATATTGTCAAGGTTAAAACGGTCATGCAATGACAAATAAAAAAAAAGAAAACAAATACACAAAATGATTTAAGGTGCTTCGGAATTATAAGCAGATCATGCTGCTCTTATGCACCCTGTCGTGCCCATAACAAGTTTCTTTGATAATGTCACAATCAAAAGACAGTTACAAGATTGTGGCTACGACAGTTCGAACATATCTAGGTTATCGTAACACAAATATTCCATCACGGTCCAACAAATCATAATGTCACCGTTACACATTTCGAAGTGATGACTTTTTAAAAATGGTGCAATGAGTAAATTTCAAGCTTTGAATTGCCACCTTCTATAAGGGTTGAGAATAATGATCTCGTCATTTTAAAGACAAATTTATAAAACTTTAAAAGACATTATTCTATCATAGATAAGTATTTGTATGTTTTATTGATCTTACATATATTTGCCAGAGAGCTTCAAAAGTTATATATTTCGAAAGTTAAAACTAGAAAACAAAATGTTGACATCATTTAATCAGGGTCTTGTATTCTCTTTACTTAAAAAGAAAAAAATATCTTATGATACGGAATGTTTTAATATCTAACTGTATCAGTACCTATGTACACCATGATCACTCCAGTTAGAATTAAAAAAACATGTTTATATGACCACATATGGATGTCATAAATTGACATTTCTCATCTTACAATAGTTGGGATAGTGTTCAATGATTTCTGTATTTTTTAAAGTTCAGGGGTAAGAAATGGTCGTTAAAATACCCTTGTTCTATTGAAGATTATCAAAGGCTTGCCGCCACATCCGTAAATTACTTGGCCAAAATTTCTATATTAGCACTATTCTATTTCAGTTGAATGGTTTATATCAGAACTGCCAATAGTTTTTGGACAAGATGTGAAACTTGTTTGTAATATTTCTGACACAACGAATTGTGCTAAAAATTACTCGATTAGGATATGGTCAAGAGAACCAAAGCAGCAGATCTTAACCATGGACGGAATATCTGCCAATGAATCAAAATACACAACTGACGAAGGAAAAAACAAATTTAGCTTGAACATTAAACATTTTTCACAAGAAGATGCAAACCATAAATACAGCTGTTTATATGGTTTTCACAGAAATTCTAAAATTCTTGCAATTAATGACAGCTTCGAAAGTGAGTAAAACTAGGAATTTTTTCACCGATAATTATTTGGCTTGAACGCTATTTCCATTAAATAAGCGATAACAAACATGTAGTTGTTATACTGACATTGAGTTTAGCTTTTTTCTGGTTTCCACTACTTATAAAATAGTTTTCTTTTAATTTATATATGGCATGCATTAAGTTTTTCTCCTAGTGAAAATCTTTGTTTAGATATTTTAGTCGCTTTCGATTTACCTGAATATTACGATCTCTATTTCGTAATGAGCGATTGATTGATTGTTGGTTGCTTTACGTCCAGTGGCAAACGGTAATGCACAAAGATTGATGTTGTTTTACTGTACTTCAAGGTAGTTTATCCTTGCAATGACCAGTTTTTTCACAAAACTGCTTTATCCTTAAATTGCAACATGCAGATGATCACAGAAAAGAATGCTATTCATTTCTCCTCAAAGTATGTTAGTTAATAAAACTAGTATATGTATATTAAGTACTTGCTAATGATTGAAGCCACTCGTGAATATTTCATATACTTAAACAGAAATCCAAATGTAAAACGAACTGAAAACTTCTGTGTTAACTTCTGATTTTGTAACTTTGTAGGTCCCCCCGACTAACCAAACCTCACAACAACACTACAACTATGGAAATAACGTATTAACTGTACATGTTCGATTTACACAAATTCATCCAGTACCTAACTGTTCAATTTTGTTTCAGGTAATGTTTAGTTAAAAAGTAAAACAGTCGCAACTATACATTTAAAGTTCTGGGGCGCTACATGTTTTTTTAATTTTTTTTTTCATAATTTGAGGATACTCTTGGTAAAACAAGAATGCATCCGGAACAAAGGCATACAGTCAGATGAAAGGCAGAAAAGGTGGAGAAATATCAAATGGTTATTAAAGACCACATATCAAAAGACATAATATAACAACGAAAAGACAAACAACAGTAACAAATACTACAGAAATACATAAAGATATGAGTACGAAAAACCCCACGCAAATCGGTGGAGTTATGCGGTGTGTCTGCTGCACATGTGATATCCGTTCTTGTTGCGGGTATAAGAATTCGTACATAAGTCATGCATTAGCGAATTAGTGAATGCCTTCTGACTAACTAGAAGACATGACCTAATCAATAAACAATCGGTAGACAGAAATTTTGCTTGATTGAGAACACAGCGTATATATTTCAAACCTTACCTGTATTCCCACCAAATGCTCGTTTGCTTAAATTCGCCTAAATAAACACAAAGCAGACTCCTTCCGAATATAGTGGCACCAATATTTCCAATCTTTTTTAAAAATGAATACATTTACCAAATCAGTCTTTTATCTCTCTGTAGAATTGCTTCAATCAATTTTGCGGGAATGCACATATCCTTTCTTCCATTTTATTTTTGAATGTCAATTTGTATTTGCAGCAAAAAGAACTATCATCGAACTTAACGACCAATGTCACAAAGGATAACTTGTTATACAACATGGAGTTTAATTCTAGTTATGCTGTGGAGAATGCTTGGTGCGGTCACCTGCAAGTCTTTTGTACCGTAGGGTTAACAACATATGCGATTATTGATGAATACATAAATCAGGAAGATCAGTCAAGTAAGTTATTCTCCTTACAACAGGCATGATTAAATTAGTAGCTTTTTGATATAACATTGAAACGTCAATGAAGGCAAAACACATAAAATATTGTTAAATATAAATGATTAGCTACCTGGTAAACATTTAACAATGAGTGAAAAACAGTCGGACTGATTTTGCTAATTGATGTTTTAATTTTGTACAGAGTCATTAGTTATTCATCATTCAACCTGACATCTCTTAAAGACCATATCATGTGCAAATGAATATTCAGAATAGAACAAATTCTCTACTTTAATGTTATTATATCGCTCACGCATGTATTGATCAGCAAGGATGTATTTGCTGTTTAAGGTCATCAGAAGTCAGCGTTTGATTTTCGCCAGTATTTCATTCATTCTTATTTAGATTCGACATGTTGTTGTTATCGTACATGTATGATAAACAAGATATTTGTTTTATCATTTTAGATGTTTTTACATTCAATAAAAGGGCTATAAGAACTTTAATAATAAAGCTCGTGCAACATGCTGTATGGTGTTTTTTTTTCTCTCGCTAAGTTTGATATAGGTATTTCATTTATCAAAACTGTTTGCGAAGTCGTATTTTCTCTTCCGCTCCCTTATTCTGATCTTTCTTCAGAATCAAATTTATTTAAGGCAATATTTACGTTTTATTATAATAATTGCGAAATATGCCAAAATAAACTTTTGAGTAAGATTTCAAGTTTACAACAATATTATTCTACAGTACGGAAACGGACATCAATATATTGTCATAAAAACGTTCTATGTATGTTTCAATTATAAGAAATATAGTATTCAAGAGTGAGGTACAGACAAAAAATCCATTCAAAAACATTCAAAAATATTTGACATTATTAAGCATTGATAGTTTAATAACCTCGCGATGATTATACATCATTTAAATGATTGGAAAAATAAACTTTTTCCTTTGGCACCGTCTTTTTATATATCCTAAGTCGTTCGCCATGCCAGTGTCTGTAGTGACGCTTTGTATTTTTATTTAACGTAATCTCTGTATTACTAGTAATACCATAAGTCAGGAATTTCGGTAACAAAAAATACTTAAAACCTTTACTTAATTCTTCCATATACACACAGACTTGGTTTGTAAGTTTGACTGTGCCTGTGGAAAACTTATTTCAAACGGAATAGCACATCCTATTTTTTACGGTGATGTTGTTTACCGAACCCGGAAATTTAGATACGATCCGGGTAAACTTATCAAGCCTTTTAATAAACTTATTCTAAAAGGTTCTGCTTTGTATTGATCTAAGAAGTTTAGCCCTTTTCAACTGATTTTTATAATTTGTTCCTATGTTGAGCTGTAACACCATTGCCTTAGAGGAAGGTTGAGGACTCAGAAACATGCTTAACCCCGCCACATTAATTATATGTTCCCAGCAATGAGCCTGTAGTTCAGGTGTTGTCTTTAGTTCATGTCTGTCATATTTGTTTTTCGTGATTTGTTTTGTTATAAATTAGGCCGTTAGTTTTCTCAATTGAATCATTGTGAATTGTTACATATTTTTCATGTCGGGACCTTTTATAGCAGACTATACGGTATGTGTTTTTTTCTTATTGTATAAGGCCGTACGGTTGCCTATAATTGCTAACATCCTCTTCATTTGAACTTTGGTGGATAGTTGTTTCATTGGCAATCATATCACATGTCCTTATTTTTATACAACCTCAGATGTCTGGACATTGTTTATTCAGCGCACTTTATAGATTGACATTGATAAGACGTCTGCTATTTCTTGCTCTCAAAACGTAAAACCAATCAGTGAGAAGTGTTGCACAATTGTCAATTGAAGTAAGGATTATTGATTAAACAATCATTAAGGTAAGCATATAATTTATAATGCTGCCTATACTAAAACATGTATATGTGATGTTTGACACATATGAAATACATATAAAAGAAATTGATAACCTTCCGTGGTTATTTAACGCATAAGTTTAAAGCCATTGATTATTGTCAAAACAAGCAATTCAAACACGTAATTGGCGAGAATGTTGCACTTATGAATAGGTAATGGACCACTAAAGGATAATCCATGGGGTTTGATATGGTTTTGAATTTTGTTAGTAAAACGTTAATATAACTATCAAGAAACAATTTTATATTTATTTTAGATGAGAAAGCAAAATGCATGCAGACATCACTGGACACAGAAACACCACAGAATACGATAACCATGCTTATGTTTGGATTGTTTGGCATTTCACTTGCTGCAGCATTTATTATTTTGATATATCGTCAATCTTTTGGAAAATTCTATACGTATATCCTTTCCATTTCTCTTAGAAATGAAAATCCAAACGCAAACATGGAAACAAATGAAGAAAATATTTTACTTACTGATTTGACCAATGAGATAAAAGATCTAACCATTGAACAATGTTGATTTTTCAAGAATTAAAATATGAATAGTCGCCACTGAAGGTATAGGTTTCATAATCAGTGAAAATTTGATATTGCTTGATATCAATTCTCGTTTATTTTTAATTTTGATAAAAAATACACTCGCCAAATGTTAACTTATTATTACATTGATATTAAATGACTCTTATTGATATCAAGCGGTATACAATTCTCACTCATTATGAAAGCTTATAATAAACCATTTTTACAATTAACCCCATGTTTGTATGCTACTTGGTTTTTTAATGCACAGTATTGAAGTTATTCTGAGATATAAATTATTTAGTCCACATCGTACGCATATTGTCTACCTCAACAGCTCTATAGTCTACCTCAGTATTTAAATTTTATTGGATTTACCTTTATTGCCTATCATATGTTTTTATTTTGCAATATTTGTTTTTTTTATTTATGCTTGTCATTCTTTTTGCTTTTACCTTTTGTTTAATGTATACATGATAGAATAAACAGGAATTGTATAGACAGGAAGTCACAATGGTAATATGCATGCTTTAATTTTTGCTTTTTTCATGATTTTGTTATGTATCGCAAGTTTTATAAATTAAGTGATGAACATCCATTTTGCACCTAGTTTTTGATAAAGTTGGTAATGAGCCAAGGCCTTACTGAGACTAATTATTTGAATAGAATCATTATGTTTGTATACAAATATCTTCTGACAATTTTTTGTTTTGTTTTTTAAAACCTTGGCAGTCCTGAATAATATGAGTAGAGTTTGACGCCTTTATGAAAATACATGTATGTAGGACTAAATCCAAAAACAGAACTAAATCCAAATTCAAATAGTTCTGATATCTAACAGAATATGCTTTATGAACATCTGAATAGATTTTAAATACTTTTTGATTTAAGAAATTCAAGGAACCAAAAACGGTACCAAATCCAACCTTCTCGTTTTATTCATTTTGTGACATTTGTTCATTAGGATTACACTATATATAGTTGTCATATCAGGGTTTGGCGACTAAACAAGACGGCAATACAGCAAGGAAATAGGGCAAATATTTGTAACTATAAATAATTGTATAGTGATATTTTATCTGGTTTCAACGAATTATAATACATACTTTGTTAACGTAAATTTATGACTTTCAAAGATGAATAACATTTAGATAAAGATACACTGAATAATTTGATATATACTTATCGCACTACATGCTGATTATGCACATTGGTATTAAAATATCGAACACCTGGATCTACTTATGTGTCATTTAGATTGTTATATTCAAATTTTGTTCATACAAGTTCATTATCTTTTTTGCTTCTGTTATTTGATTACTTTAGCAATTATATTGTTATTTAAAACTACGACTATGTGAATCCTCTTATAGCTGCAAAGTGAAAAGCATATATATATATACATATATGTATATATATATATATATGCGTCTACATATGTGACAACCTTACGACAGACGTTCGCCATCGGATAACCCAGGATTATTATGTGCTAACAATATTGTGTGGACAACGCTAACAATGCTTTCTTTGACTAGTTCATAGTTTCTGCAAGGACCAGAACCAATGATCATGCATATCCCCTAATAGATATGTAGAAACTCATAACTGTTTTCGTTTAAAAGTCTAAAATATATTTCCCTCAAATGACTAAAATCAGCGATTAAAAAAAAAAACATCATATCTTACATATATTCAAAAGTTATTATTCATATTTATTGTGAAATGTGTTCATTTACATGGATAATGAACTTTTGTTTGTACATTGTTTAAATATACATAAAAATAGTGTTTAACTATTGTGTGTCTCTTTATTTTGATTGTAGAAATATTAATATATTTTTTTTTGTATTCATAGGTGAAATTATGAAACAATTTTATAAAAACAATGAAGTCTAGCAAATATCATTAAAAGTAAAACTGTTACACTATACAGTAGAAAGAAATAATAAGGACGAATCGTTGTACAATATACTTCCCCTTCTGAATTCTTATCAACGAAATCATGAAATATTCTGACCATAACCATTAAAAATTGCAGTATTATAGATGAACAAGTTATGCATAGTCATCATAATGAAACAAATACTTTATTTGTTTTATAATTGATGACATTGTTATTTAATTTTAAACAACTATATCATGATAAATGCCGTGTGACTATGTTAGCTGTCAAATTCATAATCATCGATTTAACTCAAATTCTCATATTTGATTTATAACATACTAAAACGTATATCAGAATTACAAAAAGTCTAAAATAAACAATTGACAATGCATGGACTCGATAATATGTATCAACATTTCGTGTGTCTTTCTGTCTAGACGTTATCTAATTAACCATCGAGATGACCTCTCAAGACTGCCGATGGTCATATAACCCGATATAAACATAAATATAAATATAAACAGATAGCGACCACGTGCAATTGGATTTTTCTAGATCTGTTTGATTTCATATTGTAGGTTAATAGTATGTTTATCATCGATTTTACCTGTATAAGAATGAGTTTTTGTGGATCGAATCAGTCAACCAAATGGTTCGTCCTTGTTTCACTTTCAATGTTGACATTATTTTCCTTTTGATAGCTAAATACATGCGTAACCCATTTCCAGCTAAGGGGTTAAATTAAAGGTCACATGAATACGGATTCAAGGAGGTCGAATTATCGACTTGCCAGTTAATAATTCATCAGCGATGTTTCTTAGATTATTTTGACAAAATTGACCCAAATTGGCTGCTAAAAGCGAATTATTATTTCATTATATCACTTTCATTAATGATTGAACAAAAAAAAAGGGTAATATTTAGTTTTTATTTATATCTCGTAGCTAATGCCCCTTTAATACCTAATAGTATATATTAGGCAGTAGAAACAAAGTATATGATACCGTACTTTATTATGTATGTGTGTTGCATTGTTTCGGAACTTGCGGCTATTATATACTAGGTGTGAACTACAATATTACTTTTTTAAAGACGCTTTATCGTTAAGAGATCATATATTGACTTGTTTGAGACTTTTAGATTCTCGTGTCGTTTGACTGATGACATATATCATATTTTGTTTATTAACCATAGCAATAAGCAATATTTTCATTTTTTTATATGTTATGGTACATATGCATATTTGTATATTACTTATAATCGGCAAGGCTGCTTGTCATTTATCATAAATTTTATATTTACATTTTTAACATCTGGTATATTAATAGTATAATAAAACTGACATTAATTATGCATTGAGATATGTTACAGATAACAAATGCACTATATTTCAAACCTTAACATTGCTATTAAAATAACGATTATTTATAAATAGTTATAGATACAATGGAGGGCATTTTTCATGTTATACATGTTAAATACAACGTGTATGTATAGAGTGTTTATTATCTGTTTTGCTTCAATTTGTATTAGCAACTTTTCTGTGTACGCATATTGATACGAAAAAAAGAATGGTATATTTTTAAGCTTTCTATTTTTCAAATTTTGTGTGGACAAAGGTACTTATCCTTCATTGATCTTATTCTATCACATGGATGATATGTTCAGAATGAAATTGAGTTAAAACGACGACTATTTGTATTCAATTAAACATGCAAATTGAGAATAATCTAGTTTTAATTGCAAATTTTGCGCAAACTAAAATTTTAATTATGTTAGGAATCAAATTGGAAACGACGACTATAAATTCATGAAAAAAATAAGAAGATGTGGTATGATTGCCAATGAGATAGCTCTCCACTAAAGACCACTTCACCAATGAGCAAAACCCATATCACATAGTCAGCTATAATAGGCCTCAAAATGACAAATGTTAAATAATTCAAACGAGAAAACTAACGGCCTGATTTATGTACAAAACAATGAACAAAAAACAAATATGAAATACAGCAACAAACGACAAGCACTGAGTTTCAGGCTCCTGACTTGTGACAGGCACATGCATGATGTGGCGGGGTTAAACATGTTTGCTGGCGCGCATAACCCTCCCCCTAATATTGGACAGTGGTAAAACAGTACAACATAAGAACAAACTATAACAAGAGTGCACACGCTGAAATGTCTCGCCTGTTTAACATTAAATTCATGTTGAAAGTGTAATATGAAGGTTTTATTACAAGTATCACTTAGACTTAACATTATAAAAGTTCTATGAAAATGAGGTCAAGTTCAGATGAAACATGCAAGACAGACATGTAACCCGTACGATCATTCCATTCACCAAATATAGTGGTCCTATTGTTAATAGTACCTTAGAAACAGATCAAACCACAAAATCGTAACATTGACCAATGAATCATGAAAATGAGGTCAAGGTCATATCACCCTGCCAGACAAACATGTACACCTTACACTCTTTCCATACACCAAATATAGTTGACCTTTTGCTTATAGTATCTGATAAACTGACAAAATTACGAAAATTTATCATTTACCAATGAAACAGGAAAAATAGGTAAAGGTCATATGAACCCTGCTAGACAGACATGTACACTTCACAGTTGTTCATTACACTACATATAGTTGACCTATTGCTTATAATATCTGAGAAATAGACCAAACCACAAAAACGAGAAATTGTCCAATGAACCATGAAAATGAGGTTGAAGTCAGATGAAATCTGCCAGACGGACATGTACACCTTCCAATCATTCCATACACCAACTAAAGTTGACCTACTGTTTATAGTATCTGAGATACGGACTTGACCATGTAACTTTAACCATGTTCACTGATCAATGGAATAAGGATGAGGTCAGGTGAACCCAACCCTGACGGACATGTAGACGTAACAAGGAGCCCATATACCAAATATAGTTTTCTTATTACTCATACTATTAAGTGAGTATTTCACTTAACGAAAAAAAAAATGTAATTTTTTTTTCAAGCAGTCACTGAACTTGACACACTGACCTCAGGTACCCCTGTAATGAAAAAATAAAAGATACAATCCAAGGGTATATTATTATGCTGTAATAATTTAATTTCTTCATTTTAACTGTAGGACTTCATGGAAGTTGTATTGTTTATGTAATGTACTTATTAAGGTGACCTGAGTTAACTATAGTTATGCTGTAGTAAACCTATTTCTTCATTCTAAATGTAGGAAATGAGGTCAATAGACATATGAGAGACGAAACCTTCTTCACATAAGGTATCTGCACACAAGGTATGAAGCATCCAGGTCTTCTACCATCTGAAATATAAACCTTTAAACAAATAGTTACGCCGTCGCCGCTGGATTGTAATACCTATGTCTAGCATACTGCGACTTTCGTCGCAGGCGAGACAAAAATCATTTGAAAAGGATTTAACTCATCAGATCGATACAAAGTAGAAAAACAACGAATAAAACATAGACAGGACATAGCAGGGTATCTATACATCCCCACAAACGTACAGATATGAGAGTACTCACAGTTACGGACATCTAGTTTAAAGACAATAACAACTAATGAAAAATCATGTATCTAAGACTAAAATATCAGTTAGTACACATCCAACGTCTTATATTAACGGATTTAGTGTAAAGACGTCCACTTATCGATTGAAAAGGAGATGATATTTTTTTCCTATTTACAAAATGTGTGCGAAAAACTCTAATAATTCTATTTCTGCTGCCATAGTATTGAAAACAAACACTATTTGTATCCCTTAGCAGACACAAAAGGAGGATCTCCTTATCATATATTTTCCAATTTTCTTTGTATGATTCATTTATTTACATGATTAAGCTGTGATTTGTATGAATACAATTGATTTCAGAATATAAAACTTCGAAAGAACATTTGTTTTCCTTTTTCCTGTATAAATCAAGATTTGTAATTCTTAAAGAAGGATGGGATTATAAAAAACTAGCTGCTGAAAAAATCAGTGAGCATAAATTAACAAAAACAAAAATGAAAGTACGCTCTTTCATAGACTTAAATACTATGAATGTTACACAACCTTATATAAACATGATCTGTATCTTCAAAAGAATAACACTTTGTCAGATACCAGAAATGTTTTAACACTATAACATGGAACTGAGCTTTATATTTAAATACTTATTGTAGTAGGGTAAAACAATCACGAATTATGAGAATTATAAGGAAAGTCGCCATAAGAACAGTTCACATGCATCGACGAAATCGATTAAATAAGGCAATGTAACAGGTAAGGTGAGCATACTCATTTTTGTTCAAACAAAATGGTATTGTTAAATAAATATGTAGCTTCATACGTAAATTGCCAATGAAAATGTATACAATATTTCTTTGCATATGCAATTATTCTCACTGTGTAGAGTGGACACAGAAAAAATGGTTTTAATTTGATTGTAGATCCTTTGCCGTATACATTATATACTTCTATCCAAGCAAATTCTGAATGTTACTTTAAAGTTTTTATTTGATTTATTAATCGAAAATATCCGTTAAATCTGTGTTGACTTTTTTATATATATATTACTGTCAAATAGAATTATAAAATAAAATATTGAACAACGTAGACACTATGATGCATCTTGCACCTATAATGACTTTTGAATAAAATGTGATACATTTATTTCAATGAAATATCCAAACATGACCTTACATGGATACAAAGTACGTGTTTCTTTATCCCGATTATGAATTATTATAGATTTTGCGAGTTGATGTGATTACATTTCATACATATATTCATAGAATGTGTTTGTTTGAACGAACATAGTGTGTGAATATCTGGAAGTGTTGTAAAAAATATCTACCCAGTGGACTTTTATAAGAACTTTCATAAAGCGAAACGATGTTATTCACAACATAAAAGGAATACAACTGCGATATCGAAATACCAATCAGTCGGCAGTTTACTATATCTCCAAAACGAACATCAATTCTTATCAAATATTATCATGCAAACAACATGTCTAGATCGGTTTATTAATAGAAATATTTTTTATATGATGATGGTATGAGTTGGTGTAGTATATTTACAAAACATTACCGCTAATGACGAACCCGACATAAAGAATGTTTCCCTAAAAATTATATGTTCTCTTTAACAATCAATGTTGTGCTAAATGGTTATGATAATCAATTCGCTGAAATATGTTTGATAAACATTGTTTACTCATTTAAAGGCAGGATATCGACATAATACAAATAAGTTACACTTAGATATCCGGAACGCCATACGAAATGTTAAGTGTTTTTTAAAGTATTAATTGATTTTCAAACTCAGTTATTTACCATTTCTTAATCCACTTATCGAAATTAAAATGGTCTTGTAATATATGTCAGGAAAAAAATACTTTCAATATATCCAATTGGCTTTCAAAAATTAGACACTTTGTGAAGGACGTCTTTTTTGTATCACATTGCTTCATTAATTTACGGAATTTAGTGTTGATTACAAATCTTAGATATATTTTGTTAAGTTAATAAGATAGATAGACGTCATGTTCCTACATGTATATCGTTTATGATTTATTTTGGTCAGTTACCAGTTAACATTGGTAGAATCATACTGAAGAAAATTGTTGTTATCCGGATTAATTAGTGTTCATTTTATTTGTATTTATTTGCTCTATTCGAGGACCTTTTCGATGGCTTTTTCCAAGGTGCTAAAATTACATGTATTTCGAATTATGGTTTCTGACACCCCTATGGTATTTTCTCCCTTACTTTTATGTTTTAACCATCCTTATTCCGTATTTCTACGTTATAGGTGTGCACATAGCACCAAAAATAATGATTTATGTTTTTATAAACCCTTGTGTTTATTTTTCCTATAACCAAAAAGTAGCATCCATATTGGGGAAACAACTTGCAATTCAAGAATACTTAATGGAGCCAGTGGCGGATCCAAGGGTGAGGGGGTTCCGGGGGTTGGAACTCCCCTTTTTTGACAATGAATCAATGAATGCTTTTGAATGGGGACATTTGGTTGGAACCCCTTTTATCCTGAGTTAAAACCCCTTTTTAAAAATAGCTGGATCCGCCCCTTGGAGCCACCAAGTAACATTGCATATTAGGACATATATTGGAAGTTCTTTTATACCCTAATTCCAACAAAACAAACATTTTAGGGGCCAGCTGAAGTCCGCTTCGGAGTGCGGGATTTTCTCATTGTGTTGAAGACCCTTTCTGGCCTTGGGCTGTTTTCTGCTCTTTGTTCGATTATTGTCGTTTTGACATATTATCCGTTTCCATTCTCTATTCTATCTAAATGATTTAAAGAAAAATATATACATTTATGTGAAAGTAATGTTGTTTTTTTTCTTTTGCTTTTTCGGTTTGTTTGGTTTTTTTGTTTGCTAGTTTGTTTCTTTTTTTTATTTAAATATTGATATATTGGGTTATCATTTTCAATATGTGTGTCGTTTAAGATTTGATAAATGCGAGATATGAGAATCTATGACAACAAAGTAGTGATGCGATCTCGTCAAAGACGCATACTTATGCGAATTATTCGGTGCATTTGCGATAAGTTGCTGATAAGGGTTTATATATGTCAAGTCTGTTAGTTCTACTCTACCATTATTTGTCGACGTAATTGTATTTTCAGAACGATCAGACAAACTAAAACTAGATTCTGCTGATGCATATTGTGCAAGCGATTGGTTCGATATTTCGCCATCATTGACTTCATCGTAATAGTTTGTAACTACTTGCAGTTCTTGGTTTTGCTGTCTCACTAAGTCATCAACAATACCAACCGGCATTCGATGTCGTTTTTTGTAGTAAATGAAAAACGCAATCCATCCTGATAATGCAAGAAGACACAGCGGTAAGATTACATAGAATAAGGATTCCTTGCACATGTTGCTGAGACCATCTCCTGATTCTTTAAACAAAAATAAAGACCACATTTTTATTTGTTGAAAATGATAAAACAATGCAAACATATGTGTTGAAAAAAAGATAAAACGGTTTTGTTCGAGGCTAATTTGTTACTTTTGCAATTTTCACTTGCTGTCAATTAGGGAGTACAATCGTAAGCAATATGGTCTTTACTTTTATAAATTAGTCTTTTGTATATTCTATATCATGTGATTATATAAAACGTCATCGACGAAATCTTTAGGCTACTCCAACTGACTGATAATTAAATGTATCATACAAATATCTAAATAGTATACTCGTTTGTCCATTAAAAACAATCATTTGTTTTTTTTATTATTTCATTCAATAACTTGTGTTAATGAATTTCAATTTATACTCTAGTCAAAGTCTGTCTCAACATAAGTTTTATAGCTTGATCGAATATTCATGATACTGCGCTTTTAAACATCATATTCAATTTTTCCAATATTTAGAAAAATAGAAGTTTCATCATACATGCCATAATATCATCGAGTTTTACGATTAGCAGATAAATTAGAAACAAGAATGGGTGCAGTGAATTGATAATGTCGACAATTTTATAGATACAAAATTAGGAAATCTTATTTGGTGATTCACAGTCACAAACAAATAGTACGCCTTTTAGTAATTTTTACAATTTCACTGCTCAAAGTTCTGCAAAAACGCTCTGTTTGGAAAAATGTGCTATTTATAGTGAAATGTGCGCTTAATAAGTGATCGATACCCTCTGCATTGTCTAGAGTTCTAATAAATTTAGTAATATTCAGAATAAAGAATATGCATAATGCTGACATCTTGAACAATAACATATTGTCGTATTTGACTTTTGGTCTCTATTCGGAAGACATTGTACCGTATGATTATTTGACGATCAGACATAAAAAATTGAAAACAACACGTTTAATAATTTCATGCGTCCGAAGCGCTTTTCTGGATTTACCTTCATCAGGAACGTTCAATGCCAAACATTTGAAATCCGAGGATGTATAAGCACCGAAACAGTAGAAGAGCTATATGACAATAATACATTATAACAAATAGCCAAATCCATATAAGGTCAACTTTGCCTGAGGGAGTTGAAACCTTATTTTCTGTATTATTTCAAAATTCATAAACGGACAATAATATGCATAATATGATTGAAAGATAATATCTTTTCGAAAGGTATATGATTTTGACAGTTAGCTAGTTTGGTGCATTAAAAATAAATGTTAATGGTCATTATCATTTCATAAATTGTATAATAAGAATTTAATAATTGCATATCGACCAAAACAATAACTTCAGTTTATACATTATACTTACCGTATTTAGGTTTTAGCACAATACATTTAGTTTGTTATACATTCATAGCAGCAGATAATTAAATAACATAAATGTACCAATTTTGCTATTGAGATAGGAAGGAAAACAAGAAATTTTAACCGTCGTGTCTTGTTCGCTATAGGCTTCATTGCAGAGCGATTGCAATACAGCAAATTGTTATGTTCGACGTTTAAATCGACAATTTCGTACGTGTGCAACCATACTGTTTTCATTTCAATGAATTAAACTAGAAACAATCCAATGAGAAAGCGTTATGACACACGACTCGTATAACATTCACAAAGAAGGTGAACAGAAACTGCACAATCTTTACAAATTAATCCTGCCTTTCATAATACTGTCTGGAATGTTTTTTATGGTCATGGCTCATTTTAAAGTTAAAACTCACACGTATATTTAAAAAAAAACACCTCAAGGATACTATAGACTGTAGTGCAATGTTAACTAGGCCATTATTTCACTTATTGATATTTACGGATGCTGTGTCAAGTAAATTGAGACAAGTCACGTTGTCTTTTTCTAATTGTTAAAAGGACTGATGACATAATTCAACATGTTCAACTGTGTGTAAATAAATAACAAATAACAGATATTTGAAAAAAAGTACGTTTGCTTTCTTGTGTGTTTGCCTTGTTTGTACTTGTTTGTGTTCTTGTTTTATTAATGTGATACAAAACTTCAACTCGTCAGCGGTACCTAACACTATCGCAAGGTATTGTACTTTCGAACAAGTCTCTTGTACATATATAACCACTAATTCGGGCCCGGTCTGTAAGAACATACAATAAAGAAACACATATTTCAAACAAGATAGTACCTATGCAAAGCTGTAACTTTATCAATAAGTGAAATATTTGGGTAAATTTGGTATCAAATGAAAGCTTGAGGACGTGAAATCACTGTACGACCCATTTTTAAAAGTTTCGTTTTAACAATAAAATCAAATTATGAAATAAGACAGTAAAGCATATTTGCCATGTTGCTCAGATCAGAAGTACCTGTTTTACTACCAAACTTACAGGAACCAATGCGCTGTAAAATGAACATACATGTATGTGAAATTTTCAGCGCTAGCCAAGATAAAGTACAGTTTTGACATGACATGACTGTCACTTTATTTGCTCTAAAGACAAAATATCTATGAATGCTAAAATTGCAGAATTTAACATAGAAAGCAATTGAGTCATGAATTAGAAGATTTCTTCCCATATTTTATTGTTGATAATGACTCATGTCTTGAATGGTTTAAACTAGATGATAGTTTTAAAGTATTTGTTAGAATTAACTTAACTAATGAACATTTTGTTAATTGATGTACCTACTCCAGTAATTGTACTTACCTTTCCATTGCTCAGTAACACTGCAAATAGCCGTTCCATTGTTGTTTGAAATAACGAGACTAAAGTTTCTATAGTCCTCTTGAGTGAACGCTGTGAATGCTACTGAGAATCGATATCCATTGATATGAACTAATCGCCCGTGGATTTTGGTTTGTACGATCGTATCCATCGAGTCGAAAGAATATCTAGCTAGATTTGTTGTGATAATCTTATCTCTATGAAGCCATTTTATACTATCATACGCTGGAAAACTAGTTACTGTGACAGATAGCTTTACAAATCTCCTTTGTTTATTATCTACACTTTCCAAAATGCGATCAGTGCCGTTTATGCAGAGTGGTTCTCCTTGACAAAATCAAAATAAAAAAGAACATTGTATGATACAAATTTAAATTAAAGTAACGGGCGCATGCAAGGTAACGTTGATACCCTTGTATTTGTATGTAACTTTTAATGGCATGGTTTCTTCTTCAACCGTTCCGACACAGAAACAAAATCAATCATTCATTTCAGTAACTTCGAACATTAGAGATTCTTCTGAAACATTCTTTAATTTCTTAAAATTAGTTGAGATCATGTGTTATCATTCCCACTATAGTACCCTCTGTATTGTACAAAGCATGAACACCATGATGTTAACTGGAAATCTCATTTAACCATCTGGCTTTGCGCACGTTTGATGAAGGCTAATCCAGGAAAGCGTTGGATGCACGAAATCAATAAAGTGTTATTTTCATTTACATAGGGTGTAGACAAAACATGTTTCCAGTGTAGTTGATGTCTCTTGATGTCTCCATGTTATTTGTGTCGTTATGCTATTGTCTTAGTCACTTTTATCCTGAATATACTTGCTATAGTTTAATGAAGTTGTAGTAATTTAAAAAATGTATTATTCCAAAACTGACGAGAACCACCATACCTATCTTTATAAAGGAAACCAAACGAGGAACATTCATGCAGCCTTTAACTTCAATTATTTGTCAAATCAAATTTGTTCTTATTTATATGTGTACCTTGAAATTGAAGAAAAATAAATCCCGTTTGTTTAACTTTCTGTAAGTGGCCACGTATTCCATTCTCAACTGTACAAGCATATTTTCCAGAATTGATGTAAGCCAAAGATCCAGCTTCAGGTAATACATTTAAGACACCATCTTCAGAACCAACGAGATATCGAATGTGTTCTCCAAATTCTGAAAGATGCTCCCATCTCGAAAATCTGTAAACGCTAGGAACACCAGTAGCATTGCATAAAATAGATCCATTTGTTAATGTCACAACTGATACAATTGGTGCATCTACAAAAAAAGAAGATTGCACTATACGATCAGTAAAATTCGCATTGTATCATTAGTTTCGAACTAGCAATATAAATATATTTGCGGGAAGCAAATATTCACTGATAAGTTTCTTCTTTTGGATAGATTAAAAAAAAAAACACATTTTTTCGAAGTTGACTGCAGTCTTAGAAAAACCAGGAGTTTAATAGATAATTTGATACCAGAATTGTTTAGTCAGAATCGGGTTTTCTTTTTGCGTGTAACTACCGTACACATTCATTTTTATTGGTTTGATGCGAGTGTTTCTCGTATAAGATCTTTTATTATCACCGATATGAGACATAATCCGTTACGTAACGGATTGTTCATCTGTACAATGAATACTGATCGTTATAATTTGGTGATGTATACGATCACTTACATACGACTTATGACATTAAATGATCAGGCAATATTAATTTGATTGTTTTATAAGGTTTCCAATAATTTGATGGAAGATTTTTGTTTTAAATTGTTGTTTGAAAAAGAAAATAGCTTTTCAGGCAAATTCATCATAAGGATTTAGACATCTGTCATATTTAAGACCCATACACCCATACATAGGACTTTAAACTTACGTTTTACATAGGTTTAAATGATTTAAAGTCAATATTTGTACATTATCTTTGATGAAAAGAAGCATTCTACAATAGTCATTATGTACAATGTATAAATGATGCGTGTTGGGTATGAACTCCTGTTACGTTATAATACAGATAGTGGGATTATATAAAAACGGAGAAATGAATATATTTTATACATACATAGAACTATCAATTGAAGTGATGCTGAAGATCTTCCTAGTTCATTACATACAGTGCATCGATAACTACCAGCATCCTCTCTATGTATGTGTTTGAAAACAATATTTGATGAAGGATCTGTTTGTTGTAATGACATTTTATTTTTCGTCCAGTTAAAAATTTTGCTCTCGGGATTGCTATCATGATTGCACTTCAAAACGACTAAGCTTCCTTCACTGATCACTGCAGATGGGACTGCTTTGAGTTTAACTCTAGGAGGGTCTAAGTTAAAGAACGACATGATGTTAAATCAAGTTTATATGTGGCACGTTTCAACTGTTGTTTTATTGTATTCTATTCATTAACATGTGTAAGAGTTACGTCTTCTATGGATCACTCTTCATATGGCTGCCTTTAGCTTTACTGTTATAACTGGGTCGAGTGGCTTCCAATATAGCTACACACTACAAACTGTTCAGAGATTGAAAAGACCATATTTTGTGCTCAGCAAGTAAGGTCGAACAAAAATTTTACTTGGCAAGGCTCGACATAATCGCGACAGTTCTGAAAATTCTACCTTTTTCTACCTTTTAATCAAATCCTTAAATTAAACAGCACCTGGCATTTTGTATGATCAATATATGATTGAGTCGAGACGGGTCGAGACTGGACGAAACTGAGTCGATACTGGTCGAGACTGGTCAAGACTTAGTCTAGACTGCTCGAGACTGGTAGAACATTGGTCGAGACTGGTCGATCATTTGTCGAGACTATATTCAGACTACACCAAGATTATCAATTACTCAATCAGACTTATTAAGTCTAGACCAAAATCAAGTACAGTTAAGTACAGTTATGTACTGTTGAGTCTTGTCAAGTAAAATCTGTGGTCGACCTTACTGGTTGAGCACAAAATATGGTCTTTTCAGACTCTGAGCAGTTTGTAATGACAGTTATATGTGATGAGGAATGAAAAAATATATATACTGCTTGCCAAGTTATATATTATTTATTTTGAAGTTAACGTCTTCAAACTCTTTGATTTTATTTAATGCGACATATATATACATGTACATCTCCACTTTTACTAACATTTATCTGTAAATAATACTAGTAAAAAATTCAAAAGCAAATATATCATCGATTTATGATATTTGAACACCCGTTAAAAACTGTTGACAATATTAGTCCCGATTTTTGAAAGCGTGTTACATTTTTCCTTTTTGCAGATAATAATGCAATAAGATAAAAAAAAATGTGCACACTCATTCAAACAGTATATTCAGTTAGGAAAGGGTCCTATTTCCGTTGCAAAACCGTTTGATTCAGGACAAAGAGGGTTACCAATGTTTATATCTGAACTGTCGTTCAACAAAACAAATCATGGTAACAAACAAAGAGTGAGGGAATCTAGCTCAGATAAAAAAACAAATGAGAGAAACTTACATAAACATTCAAATCAGCAAGAGCCAATCACACATCATTTGTGAAACGACATACTATACTGGAAACGAACAACAAAAAGCAAACAAAAAGACAAACAAACGTTCACCAAGACTATATGAACTATGTAATAAACTACACGAAGCCCAAATAAACCAGGTGCTCTAAAGGGTAAGCAATGATTTAAAAAAAAATGTTCACATTTATGGTTAAATTGATGTCTCTTTAGTAATGTTAGTCTTTAGTTATTATGTACAGTTCTCAGTCGACCGTCAGTACCAATCTCTAGGAAAATGTCAACAATTGAAACGAAAGAAACAGATCCAAAGAAGCCATTAGTCCTTGTTCAAGATGAACACTCGATCAACAAAGTCTTATCATTCGCCGAAAGTACACACATGAAACTGAAGATTAGCACTACCTGATTTCCAGTCTTCCTTTTTTTCTCCCCTCTAATAAAGCTGTTGAGAAAATACGTACTGTTCATTCCAATTTAAATACACGGCAATCAAATATAAAGATATTTTGTATGTCAAAAAAGCATTAGGTGTCTTTAAGGTATATTTCCAGGGATGTTGAATTGGTTACACAGCCATCAATTAACGTTAAATGACGTTATACGTTTAAAACTTAATTTCAATATGTAGTATCGAATCATCATTTGATTAACACTTAACCAACATTTAAACGACGTCAACAACCCTCCAACGTTTGTGGGAATAAAAAAAAATAATGTCATAGAAAAAGCCACAAACGTTGATGGTCAAGATTACAAAAAAAACATACTCACATGTAATATTCAGAGTAATGGTTTCTGTTAAGACCGTCTTTAGAAGATCATCATACCCTCTGCACGTTACATTGACCAAATGCATATTTTCTTTGGGAATAATGGTAAAGTTCAAAATTCTTTCAAACGCATCCATTACAATTTCGGCATTAATCTCTAACCGCATGGAGATGTTTCTCAAAGGGAATCCGCCGTAGATAGAACACACGATTGACAGTGCATTGCCAGTTTTACCATGCAGATATCCTTTGTCTGTTTTTTGTATAGTCAAATTGGATATCGGAACTAAATAATGTACATATACATTATTTAATAAAGTGTATTCTTTTAAAAACTTTTTGTCATACGATTTCTGACGTAGAGATCTCTATATGTCAATCAACCCGCTTTTGATAAGGAGAAAATGCTAGGTAAATAAGTAACACGTGGCGTTAACGGGGGTTGTAAGTTGTTAGTAAATAAGTAATCCTACTACGCGGCTCTAGACAAATTCAAATGCATTCATAGTGTGGAACTTCATGTAAGAGGATTTTATTCTTGACAATTTCGTATATTTTTCGTTTAAGATATGTTAGCAAATCATGTCATTATATATAAAAATAAAGATATATTCGTGCATGTGTTTTTAAGATGTGCAAATTTATTTTCAGTTTTTCATTGTTTCTAATAATATTTTAAGTTGAAGGCATTTTCAGTTTGTCGTTACTCTATTCATATTCTAAGTTGAAGGCAAATGAGACAAATTTGAATGTCACGGGAAAGCAAAGATTGATTTTCAGTTGTCTTAACATCAACAACTACATTTATATCAAACATTTCTTAAATTTTCCATTTAGAAATTTTTAAATTATTAAGAAGCTTAGGTTCGAACTCCCTCAGGAAAAGTTGATATGTGGCTATTATTTTAATGTTCCTGTTGGTCATATAGCTCTTTTCTTGTTTCTGTACTTATACATCCTTCGCTTTCAAATATTTTTGCTCCGATCGTTACTGATGAAGGAAATCCAGAAAAAACGCTTCGGATGCATACTGTTAACAAAGTGATATGTCCTTTTTTTTTTAAAGAACTGGGTTGATTCCACTGCAAGTGGGCTATTAGTCCTCGGCATTGAATAATTTATAACAAACATTTCTTAAATTGTCCGTTTATATATTTATAATTATCAAGACACTAAGGTTCCAACTCCCTTTGGCAAAGTTGCCTTAGATGGATGTGTCTATTATTTCAGTTTCCTTTTGTTCATACAGTTCTTCGCTTGCTTCGGTCTTATAAATCACTGGCTTCCAAATATTTGGCTTTGAGCATTCCTGATGAAGATAATTTGACAAATGGTGGACTATACCCCGAGAGTATCATCAGCTCAGTAGTGAGTGCGTCGATACTGATATGATTTATGACAAACATCTTTTAAACTATCGGTTTATAAATTTATAAATTATCAAGAAACAAAAGTTCCTACTCTCTCAAGCAAAGTTAATCTTAGAGGAATTTAGACTATTATGTTTAGGTTCCTTATGGTCATACATCCTTGGCTTCCAAATATATGGTTATGCTCGTTCCTGATGAAGGCTAATCCAGCAAAATATTTTGGACGCATAAATATTTCAACGCGTAGTTTGCATTTTCTATACGGACAGATAAACAATTTATTATCTTACTAGCAAACGAAATACAGAAAATAACATGTGATAAACATTTAAAGTGTAGTGTAATGTCTTTAATTTCACAATTAACAAAAAATGTTAGCTGTTGAACTGAGTACAATTATCACGCGTTTTTCAAATTGCGGTTCTTAGACAAACGGGTCTTAAAAGATAAAGCAATATATAGCTAAGTCTAATTATTCTATAAAAGTCATATTGATATACCTGAAAGTTGGACCGAGAAACTGTGTTGAATCGTTTTATTTCCCAAATATGTTCCGCAAACAAAATCCCCAACATCAGCTGGTGAAACGTTCATAATTATCAAATTAAATTGACCAAAACTGTTGTTCCCGGCAATTTTATATTTATTTATCAATTTGAAATTTGTATCTATTTCTCGACCATCGAACAAAAGCCCATGAGTATTTTGCCATATTACTGGCGTCGATGTAGACAGAAAGGGGCATTTCAGCTCAATGTTTTCACCTTTTGGTACATAAATGTTTTCTGAATCGTCGTTACAACCTTTCAAAAAAGAAAATAATCATGTTTATTTCATATAACTACTTTAAAATAAATTCGATTCTAAAATTTCTACTCGTTTTTGATATTTCCTGTATCGGCTGAACAACGTTTAAATGGTTCCTTTTGCCGATTGTCGGAACCACTGGTCTTTCGAAAATACTGCAGATTTCAATTAAATTATATAATGAGACTTCATGAAACCAGTTTGGAGTGTTGTTCTGATTTTTTTTAATGGCAATATTGGACCAACATAATACCCTTTACTTTTAAATTATTTCATAAAATTAGCTAAGGATATCAAAGGAACAAACACTCAGTCCATAAATCATTGAAAGAAATGACTTGAACTTTACAACTAGGAACCCTTGGTTCAAAATATTGTTCGATATTTGTATTTTATTAAAGATTTGATCGACTATATACATATATATATTAATGTTTTGTTTCAGCCTTTGGATTGAAAATAAGGCAACCTGATTTATGTAGGGCCACTTTTGAAAATTCCATGCACTCTTTTTAATTTTAAGGAAATTAAGTGCAATAATATTTCGTCGATTAATGCCATGTAAAAGATATTGCATGGAAAACTGCTAACAAGTTTTCTTTAGACTTGTATGAGCCAATTATATATACTTACAAATCGGTGATAGTGCTACAAATAAAACTAGTAAAACACTGGTAAGCAGTTGTCTACCTGAAACCTAACAGCAAAACAAATTTCAATGTACAGTATCAACAAAAAATTAAAGGCATTTATAGGAAAACATGTTTATTGATATTAACAAGCGTTCAAATATGAAAGTGGGTGAATGCGCTCGTCAATGCATTAACCATAATGATGTACAAATAACTTTCAACCTGATTTAACTAAGGGTATGTTTGATAATTGTGTTCAGATAAAACTATGATTTATTTATGATGAAACTGACATTATCAAGACGCTTGATTTCTTGATTGACAATATAATTGTTACGTTTGGTGGACTTGTTTGTAAACAAACAATCGGCATTCCCATGGAAAACAACTATGCTCTTCTTCTTGCCGACTTGTTCTTCATTTGTATGATGCTGATTTCATACAGAAGCGTCTTAGAAAGATTAAAAGAAGCTTGAATTTTCCTTTAATATTAACTTCCGTTATATAGATGATGTCCTCTCACTAAATGATTTAAGTCTTCCTCAAATCTTGGCTTACTTCTAGAAATTGTGAACTTTCCATTTCAATGTAGCAACATTCCAACAGCGCCTGCATATGGAGTATATATCTCCCAGTTGATAAGATGATACAGGGCTTATGTTTTCTATCATGATTACCTTAATAGAGGGTTACTGCTCACTAGGAAGCTATCAAACCATGAGTTCCAAGTGGTGAAGTTGAAATCATCCATTCGAAAATTTAATGGACGCCATCACGATTTGGTTGACTGTTATGGAATATCTGTTTCACATATGACGACGGATATGTTCCAATCGTCGTAATAATATCCTCGTCCTCCTTTTCCTTGAATATGCCCTACCGAATTAGACTTATCACTGGGTTTGTATTAACATGAGCAACACGACTGTGCCACATGTAAAGCAGGATCTGCCTACCCTTCCGGAGCACCTGAGATAGCCCCGGGTTTTGGTGGGGTTGGTGTTGCTCGGTCTTTATTTCTGTACGTTGTGTTCTGTAAACTGGTGTTCGTCTTTTTATGTTTTTCTTTTGCAATGGCGTTGTGAATTTTATTTCGTCTTATGATTTGAATGTCCCTTTGGTATCTTTCGCCTCTCTTTTAGTGTACCTATACTAAGTCAGGAATATGGCAGTTGTTTTTCACTTGTTCCGTTGATTGATTTTGTCATTTTTTGGACTTCCCCTCTTTTTGAATTTGCCTTTGAGTTCAGTATTTTTGTTATACTTTTTTAGTGGCAATGGTGTATATCTAAATAGGTAATTAAACAACGAAATCATGTTAAGCGTCTTGTGGCGTATATAATATGCGCAAATTAATATCACATGCTGATTTAATATGGCTATGAACTTTGCTTTGCATTAAACTGGCAATTCGACCGGATTTTGTAACTGTTTTGCCCCCCCCAAAAAACAGTCGATAAGAAGAATATAAACCTTTCCAGACACATAATTCTGACTCTTGTTTAACTTCTTAAATTAATGCCGTGTACTGATTGGATAAACAGCAAATGGTTTTCAGGTATTTGGTTTGAACTTCCCGCATTTGAGGTGAGTTCGCTACCAAGAGATCAATAAAGCAGTAACAAAAATAAAGATATGGTTTTGTTTTGCATAGGAAATTTCCAATAAGTTTACATATCACTGAAGATGTCCTTACTTCACTATTTCCGTGAAATTTATATAAGTCTTTGCTTGTAGAAAGACATTAAAGTATCCAACAATTACAAATGGAGAGGCCAAAAAGAAGCAAACAAATATAATAAAGAACAAAAACAGGTCTTACTTGATAGTACAGCTGTAAGAATTGCAAAATGCAAGAATTCAAATAGAATTATTCTGACTTGTAATAAATTCATAAGCTTATTACATAACCGTAAACTCTAATATAAAGAAATACTTACACATGCAGTACGCTGCAAATATGATAAGGTGACCATTTTGTCATTTGATTTGTAAAAGTAAATTTTGATTGATTTCCGCAAAGTAATATTTCCTTATACATATATATGCATCGCAGAATGCACACTATTTTCACAAACAATCAATGTATTTGTAGATTGAATTTTTATGAATAGAATGAATTGTTTCCTTATGTTGTATTGAATACGTAATCAGATATGTGTGTCCGTTTTTTAGACCCTTTTTACTTAAAAAATCATATATTTTTCATATTGTAACAATTCAGAATATAATAGTAGCTTCTGCTTTCTGGGACATGCTTGTTTTGTTACCACAGATCGGTGATTTCCTTGTTTATAATATTTATCTTTTGGCCGGTCCTTCGAATATGAAATGTATCGATCAATTTGTCGGAATGACAACTTTTCACACATTATCAATATAGTCCATGTGTTTTAAATTTAAGGTAAAGCTATAGTAAATGGGCTTTGTACCATATATAGTAAATTTTGCTTTTATATTTTCTGAAATATTTATGAATACCTTTATACCTTTATACCTTTATCTTCGGGTCCTTAAAATAAGCCAAAGGCTTCTACTGACCCCTCATCTTGGATTGTCGTAATGCAATTTCTCCGCTCATAATAATCGTCTAATAATATATTTATATATATTATACTTATAAAAATAGAACTTATTTAGGTGTGCGCAGCTTAACAATTGACATGAACATATACATTTATAAGGGTTCCAATTCTCGCCATTTAACGCTGACTTAAAATTATTCAAAGTCTTTGCCGTCACTGTTAAATCTGACAGGTTATTCCACTGATCCACTACTCTAATTGAAAAAGTATTTAGTCTATGTGTCGTCTTACACTGTTTCGTAAAGAGTTTTAATGAGTGACCTCTAGTATTATTAGATGGTGCTAAAGTAAATAAGCTCATCCAGTTTATATCATCTATACCATGCAACGCTTTATATACTTGTATCATATCATTTCTATCCCTACGATATTCCAAGGTTGGCAATCCCAATGAGCGTAATCTATCTTCATAACTTAAATGATTTATCTTCTTTACGAGTTTAGTGGCCCTTCTTTGGACAGATTCCAATTTACGAATATCTTTTTTAAGGTGCGGAGACCAAACACATGTAGCATATTCCAACAGTGGACGAACAATTGACTTATAAAGAGTAAGAAACATATCCTGATCCATGTAGTCAAAGGAATGATGAATAAGAGATAAAACTCTCTGTTCTTTATTAACAATAGTACTAATATGTTTTTTCAAACTTTAAATTTGACTCGAAAGTTACTCCAAGATCCTTTTCTTCATTCACCTTAGATAACGCAATAAAATTTTCTGTATCATCCAACATGGTATAACGATATTGTTGATCATTGTCAGGATTAATATGTAATACTTTACATTTAGCAGCATTAAATTTCAATTTCCACGTATTTGACCATTCACATAAACTGTCCAAATTTTCCTGTAACTTACAGCGCTCATTATCTGACGAGACTTTAGAATATACTTTACAATCATCGGCAAAACTTTTCACTATGCCCTCTACTACATCAGGAAGGTCATTTATAAATGTTAAATAAAGAACTGGTCCTAGAACACTCCCCTGAGGTACACCACTCACAACATCTGACCATGCTGAAGTTGTATTATTTATACGAACACTTTGCTTACGCCTGGATAGAAAACTTTTTATCCAATTCAAAATACATCCCTTTATTCCAAGTTTTTCAAGTTTCAAAAATAAGCGCTGATGAGGCACGGTATCAAATGCCTTGGAAAAATCAAGGTAAATTGAGTCCAGTGGAAAACCATTATCAATTAATTCTGACCACTCATCTAAAACCTCCAGGAGTTGAGTAACACATGATCTACCTGGTCGGAAGCCATATTGACTACTTGTAAAAAGATTGTTCATGAGAATATACTTCATAATATTGTCTCTAATAATGGATTCACAGATCTTACATACTACGGATGTTAAACTAACAGGTCTGTAATTACCAGGGCTCAGCTTCTTCCCTTTCTTAAATATTGGTGACACTATGGCGTTTTTCCAATCATCTGGAACTTTACCCTCTTTGATAGACTTATCAAAAATTTTAAACAAGGGATAACAAATTGCATGTCTTATTTCATATAAAACTTTCGGATGTAGAACATCAGGTCCTGCAGATTTATCTGTCTTTAATTTATTAAGTTTCTTTAGCACATCTTCCTGACAAATATTAATATCATCCAAAAAATTGTTTGACTCTGAATTAGTATCATAATCTTTCAAGTCATCTGTATGAGTAAACACACTAGTAAAAAACTGATTTAAAACTTCAACTTTATCAGCAGTACTGGACGCTAAAGTACCATCCGGTTTCTCAAGAGTGCCTATTCCTGATCTAGTCTTGAGTTTACTGTAAACATAATTCCAAAACGACTTAACATTAATCTTTGATTCTAAGGCCACTTTTTGCTCAAAACTAAGTTTAGCATTTCTAACAGCATTTGTACATTCGTTACAACCCTTCACATATTTTGCATATGACAAGTTACTTCTTGAATATTTATATTTTGTCCATGATTTACGTTTCTTGACAATTGCAGATTTAGTAGCTCTATCCATCCACAACGGTGGACTTATAAATTTACGGTCAGTCTTTTTCTTAGGAATAAATCTATCAATATTTTCTGACATAACAGAAGAGAAACTTTTCCACATTTCATCAACGTTTTTATTACTTAGCAAAACATCCCAGTCAATGTTGTTTAGACTCTCATTAAAAAGCTCATAATTTCCTCTAAAATATGAAAAACGATCGCCAGAAGTTTTCTCATTATTCAAATAACAACAAAAATCAAAATTTATCATGCAATGGTCACTCTTCCCCACTGGTGAATCAGTTTGTATTGAGTCTTTGGCTATCATATTTTCTTCATTTGTAAAAACCAGGTCAAGTAATTTAGCATTTTGACCAGTACGAAAACGTGTTGGTGTACATATATGTTGAAAGAGAAAATTGTTCTGCATACACTCATAAAATTTAAAAGGATCTGTGTTAATACCACTTGATACTTCATTATCAACTCACTTGAAGAAAATTAAAGTCTCCTATAATTAAATAATGGCTATACTTTAAATTACAAGCTTGACATATTAAATCGTTCAATTTCTTATTATTTGATGGTACAGACGACGGACTCCTATAAATACATCCTAATAAAAGTTTATCAGTTCCTTCCAACTTAACTTCACACCACACTGATTCATTAAAACCAGATTCAGATAAAATGTCAACTTTAAAAGCTGTCAAAGACTTATGAATATAAATGACTACACCTCTATCACCCATCTTGTCAGGTATAATTTTTTCATAATCAGGTAGATTTAGCATGGATGCTATAGATTTATCCATAGAGTTTTTAGGATATATTTCACACAAAACTATAATATGTGGCTTCTCAATTGATAAGTATGACTCAAACTCTGAACGCTTATTTGACAGGTTGTCTACATTAGAAATCAAACTCTCAAAGATTTCCTTTTATCCTCCGAAGTAAATTTCTTATCGTCATTAATTGACTGGTGATCAGAAACATCTTGCGAAATATTCAACTCATTCCTATTATCATTAAATGTAACTGAAACATAACTATTAACTGGAATGGATTCGTTTAATATAGATAACCATGTGTATAGAAACATATAGATTACCATGTGTATAGAAAGAACATTAAAACGGCGAAAAACGTTTTTAAAATCTACAATTCTTCAAAAACAAATCCATATATTTTTATTAACAAATGATATGTTGTTGACTAATAAATTTAATTTCCGTTTGATTAATTTGAAATAATGGTTAAATATGGCCTCTTATCTTAAATTCATATATCTTTGTAATTGGAAACTTTCAAACAGGGTTCTACAGTGATACCAAGTCCTTAAGCTTTCATTTCATACCAAAATTACCCAAATATTTTACTTATTGGCAGAGTTACAACTATGCGTAGAATTAATTTATATGTATTACTGTCTTTTATGTTCTTTCAGACCGGGCCCGAATTAGTAGTTCTATACCTAAAGGGATGCTTGGGTATTAAAATACGATAATTTCATTCAACAAAAAGAAAAACAAACATTCTTAAGAGGGGAGTCGTTTTAATGGTGCAGGATGTAGACATACTCAACCATGCCCGATCTGAATCGGGGTTTTATATCAGATGCTCCATGTAGAAAGAGTGCAGACAGCTCTCTGCACATTAAAGAAGCATTGTTTTTACTAGTACTGGGTCGATCCCGTTCCGATGTACATCAGCTAGTCCCCGAGGGTATCGTCAGTTCAGTAGTCAGTACTACAGTACAGTATTGACATGTTTTATAACATACCTTTCTTAAATGCTCCGTTGATAAATTAAAAATTATTAATAAAATAGATTCCGATACGCTCAGGCAAAGTTGATCTTAGGTGGATTCAGATCCATTTTGTTCATAATATTCCTTGATTATTCAAGAAGTCAGTTAGGATCATGTAAATCCAGAAAAGTAAAAAGCTGGCACTACCAATTGATGTTACCAGAACTGCACATTATTGATAAAAAAACATTTAATTTTTAATTTTTCAAGGGTTCAAAATACCAGTATGCTTAGAATGACAAAACATTACGTATTGCTATTTGGAAATACAAATCATCTCCAAAAGCGATACGACAAATCAGAAACTAGCTTTTCTACAAATAAACTGTTAACACAGAGATATGTCTCGCCTTTTTAAACATTTCCATAGTAAAATACAAATGTTGAAATTAAAATAGCAATACTTTAACATGTAAGTTATTCAAAAATTCAAAGTTAATGAACCATGACTGAAGGTACAGGGCCAAACAATCTCAATGGAAACAAGATGTGCCAATGCTTTGACAACTGCATACCAAATATCATCGACCTACCATTAGTGGTTACTTATAAACTGACCTAATAACAAACAAATACATGTAAACTTAGAGGTTTTAAAGTCAATAGATCATGACTGAGGAGGCAGGGCAAAA